TTTGTCCTCAGTTGTTCAAATTGGGTACTATCTATTATTTTATGTTCCATTTCACTGATTCTTTCTTCTATATTCTCCGTTCTGCTGTGGAGCCGTTGGTTAAGGTTTTTATTTCAGTTAATACATTTTTTAGTTCTAAAATTTCCTTTTAGCTCTCTTTATATTTGCTGTTTCTTTGCTGAGACTTTCTGGTTTTTCATTTGTTTCAAGCATGTTTGCAATTGCTCACCGAAGCATTTTTATGATGGCTGCTTCAAAATCTGTGTCAGATAATTTTAACATTTGCATCAGCTTGGCATTCATGTCTGTTGGTCATCTTTTTTCATTCAGTGTGAGAACTTTCCTGTTTCTTAGTATGACAAGTGATTTTTTGATTGAAACCTGAAATTTGGGGCATTATGTTATAAGACTGGGTAATAAATCTGTGCTATAGCCAGCCTCCCGGGCACGGCTCCAGTGGAATGAAGTGGGGCCCCATCACTACTGCTAAGGGGGGGGAGAAGCCCAGATTCTCCATTCAGCCTCCCTTGGCCTCGGCGGGTGAAGGTTCCTTGTTATTGTTGGACAGGGGTGGGAGTTCAGGTTCCCCACTATTATCGCCCTAGTTGGGAGGGGGAGGTGTACTTTATTAGGGCGACCATGTGGCTCCCACACAGATTCCACCGTAGGAGGTGGGAGCCCTGACTGCCCACTAGGCCTCTCACACCACTCCAGCGAGGAGAGGAGGAATGTTTCATCACCATGGAGGGCGGTGGAAGTTCAGGCTCCCCATGGGGTCCCCACTAACACTGTGGGGTGGGTGAGCCCAGTGGAGATGAGGGCCCAGCTCCAGACTCACCTCAGCCCCCTCTGGCACCACTTAGATGGGGTACAAGGGGGTGGCCTGAGGATCTGGGCTACAGAAGTCTAGGCTCCCCACTCAGCCTTTGCTGTCAGGGGGTGGGGGTGAGGCTTCAGGTTTTCCTGGAGTCGAGCAGTTATTGCCTGAAAGATTTCTGTCTACACTGCCCCTTTCCTGGCTCTTTGGCTAGAAGAGCGAGATTTTGCTGAAACTTTTTTGGTCTGTGCCCGTTGGTATTTCCAGTTGCTGGCTTCTCCAGAATTCAGTCTGGGATATATGAAGCAAAGAGAAAACCCATGGGATTCGCTGCCATATCATTCCTCAGGTCCTGGGGTCCCTAACCAGTGTGCTTTCTTTCTACCCTTCAGTCTTCCCATGACTGTTTTATAATGCCCGGGGTTTCTAGTTGTACTTAGAAGAAGAAATAGGGGAAAGTACACCTACCCCATCTTCCCAGAACTGTGTCCGGTATTTTTGCCATACTATCTTCGCCGCATAACTAATTGACCATAAGGCAGTTTTGCCATAAAAAGATAAAATAATTGGCTGACAGTTTGTGTGTGTGTGTGTGTTTGGTTTCATTTCTTTATTGACTAATCAATCAAGCATTGTAAAAAAAAATAAGTAACTGATTGACAGTTGGTGTTTTTATTTGTTTGTTTGGTTTCATTTCTCCATTGACAAAATTTTCATAATTACTCACATTTCTGTATTATAAATAAATCTTAGCTCTCACAGTGGTCTGTACAGTGATGAGGAAACATGGTGCTGGTCTTAAAATAGTTAACAATTCTTCCAGGAGATAATTTGCCACAAAAGTTGGTTTCCTGTTTTGAAACACGCTACACTAGGAGGAAAAAGGGGGCCAAGGACTCTCTTTGAGGGCACAGAATTGAACCCACATTTCCCACAAAACAATGACAAGTGCTTAGGTACAAAATAAAGTCAGTTATTTGCATAGTGTGGCTATGAATCTACATATATTTTAAACGTATTCAAATATTTTGTATTTCTTAATAAAGTCTTAATTTTCTTATGCTTCATTTTATTTTTAATATTTCTCGTTTATTTTTCATGATTTTATCTTTTTTTATGGCAAAATTGCCTTAGTAGTTATGTGGCAAAAACATTTGTGGCAAAAGTTCTTGCAGCAAAGCTGCTGCAGCGAGGGTAGCTAGGACCTCTCAGAACATCACTGCTTTTTGAAGAACTTGTCCCTCGCTCTCTCTATTTCCTTCTTAATGCCCAGCAGTCAGTAGAATATGAAAGGGCCAGAGTGCAGATTTCTCAGAAGCTTCCCTTATCATCTGGAGGCTTTGCGTGGCTTGCCTGCTGTCCGGCTCTGGTCTCAAACACTCGCACACTAGACATCTGATAAAAGCAGTGAGGTTTTAGTTTCAACACCGGCCGGTTTAATAAGGCTTCACATAGTTACCTTCTTCCTTTCTGATATCCCTGGGCTCTTTCTCAACCCCTGGGGGCTGCTGAGACGTCAATGTCAGGGTCAGATTCCCCACCTTTCAAGCCTACGGAGGGAAAGTAACTGGAATGAGAACAATTGGATGGTAAAACTAAACAACAAATACTTCCAAGTTGACCTGTGCCTTTTTCAGCAGCCTGGCAGTTCTAATTGGCTTGGATTGAGTCATTAGCGTTTCCTAAGAGCTGGATGGAGGGGAAGTCGTGGAAGAGCCCCCTCTGAAACTCATCTGAAGGAGAAACTCCATACACTGAGGCAAAAAAACTCACCCTAGATATTCGACTGACCTGACGCCAAGCCCATATCCCCCTCATTGCCCCTTTCCCCCACTCCGCAGATCGCCAGGCCTCTGTCAACCTCAGGGCCACAGAGAGGCAGGAGGTGTGGCCAAAGAGGGTGAAAATCAGTTATTGGAGGTTTTGCTGTGCTTCTCCTTTCACTCTCAGATGCTGCCAGGATCTCTGAAGAGGGAAGACACCAGGAAACAGGTAAAAACTATTTTGTTTTCTTTTGCATTTAAGAAGCAAGTATGGAGCAGCTACTGTGTTCCAGGCACAATTCTTGGGGCTGGTAGTACAGTGGGGACCCCCTCCCTCTCTTGCTGTGTTACAGCAGGTTGTAGAAACTTGCCTTTGAGCATCTCTCTTGCTGGGCTTGGTGAGCAAAGATGCAAAGACTAGACTCCAGTAGTCCATTCCTGCAAAGACTAGTCTCCAGTAGTTCATTCTTCCCTCTTGGGCATCCAGTGACCATAACTGAAGGGTCTGAAAAGACCTGCAGCGAAGTGTCTTATTGAACTTCTTTAAACCCAGCTTCTCTCAAATGGATTTGACCTTGGAGACTTTTTTGTGTGTAACACCTGCAGAGCCTGCTGGTGTCGGCTCTGCGTGGAGAGACTGCCCCAGTTCAGACCTCTTATAAGACCCTACTCCCTGCCTGGGCCAGGCCAGCACAGCCACTACGCCTGGGGACAGACCCTTTCCTGCTCTCAGCAAGCAGCTTAGCTTTCCCCACACCAGGTACTGGATACACAACAGCCTTTGGCAGGAGCCACACAGCTGGTGGGTGGGTGGGGACACTGATGCATGGGAAAT